ATGTGCATGGGGCTAAAATAAAAGACATAATATACCATCAAAAACCTGCCGGAATAATATCAGCTGAAACAGTCACTATGAGAGTATTGGTAGTATCCAGTTTTATGTGTGATTCTGTAAATGACCAGCTTTATCCAGTTATTTGCAGGCAGAGTCAGATGTAGGGTGCACCCAGCAAACCTCCCATCACCCATTACACAGTGATGAGTCACTAATCCCAATGCCTGATTTAATTTGCAGTCTCACATGCGAACAGCTGTTTCACTTCCCTTCCTCGTGAACCCCCCCCCATATGAGAGAAAACGTTTTCACAACTCAATTACCCATTTTACATTAGCTCAAAGCATCATCAGCTCTGCCTTCCAGGCATGACTACCCTGCGCTCATGCAGTATCGAGATATTAAAGACTCAAAAGAGCAAATTAACTATTAATCTGCTAATTACAGTCTTGCAGCTAGATGTTAAACCCAAAATACAAATTGGTTTTTTATCATTCAGTTATCCTCAATGGAGAAATGTTGCAAATTATAATCTTTTACAAATATTATGTAACATTATTTTGCTAACATGGTCTTTTTATGAGCTGTTCAGTACTGTATTGACATTATATACTATATCTATAGTAAAAGCAACATGCAGAGTTGACTGTCCATAAACATGTCATGTAAATGTTGCTTTTGTAGATTAGGAGTGGACCGCTTATGATTAAAGAGACTGACAAGGAGTCAGACGGTCTGATAGCTGCCTCTATTTATGACACGTCAGTAGTGCTGATTTTAATCTCAACATGCAGACCGATGAAGAACCTGGGCCCTGTAGGTGCTACTTTGGGGCTTGTTGTCCTTATAAGCCTATTACACACATCAGAGAGCACAAGACAGCTTGTCAAAATAAACCGCCACCTCACTACGTTTAGTGACAGTTAGAAGATAGATTGGAATTAAAGTAAAATCTGGCACAAGCATTTGTAGGACCCAGTCCTTGCTACCATGCTAACTCTGAGAGACGAGCCAGTCCAAGTAACTTCAAAACAGTGCTGATTTATTCAAAGGATCACAGGTAAAATTAACATTACACGCTCAGGCATCTTGCACCTCCAAATGCTCGCAGGCAGATGTAAGATGAAAGACCCTGAACCCACCAGGCCTATACATTATATCCCTTCGGTTGGGCTAGCCCCATACTACACAGAAACGTCAACCGAGATGTCTCTCTCTCACCAGCTCTGCAGCTGGTCATAGCAGTAGTCAAAACATGAAGCAAATCAATGTGTATGTGTCTGTTGATTAAGTGGTGTGTAGCTAAAAACATTCTCACAGACCTCTAGTAACATGTCGTGACTTAAACATAAGAACATATTATGGCTAAGGCTACAGTTATACACATCATAATAATAATATTAAACACCCTGTCTGCTGACAGTCATCAACTCTTCTCTCTAGTTATCCTTGACCAGATGTACCCTGTAGAAACTCATAAGCATGACTAAGCATTTAACAGTCTAACTAGACATCCTATCTCCACTAAACATTTCTAATACATAAAGTATCTATCCAATTTCTATCTGACTAAAAATATCTAACACATTCAAAAGGTATTCATGTTCAACAGGTTTTATATCATATACAAGTAAGCGCTGTTAAAGACCTGAGGTAGCAGAAAGATAAGGCATTAAAGATTCTCATGACGAAATAACAACTGCCACTGAAATTTGAACTTTATACTTTCACTGCTGGGGGTTGAAGTGTGTTTGCTATGTGTACACACCAGGGCCTTATTTGGAAAGCTGCTGAGCTGTAGAGCACTCCAGGGGGTCCTTAAGACCGTGTGGGGGAATTTGGCAAGGACAAAAGGGCATAAGCAAAGGGATAGTTGGCATTTTTCAACAGTTAACACATTTCTTATTAATCCGTTTTAACAAAAAGGCTCATTGAGCATCGCGGTTTGTTTTACAGTGTGCACATTCCAGACCCCCTGTGCAACTCCTTTATTAGGAAACTGAAAGTCATTGTCACGGTGACAATGCTCGTAATGTCACAAGGCGAGAGCCCAGGTGCGGGCCTGGCTCAGATGAAACTGCGGAAATTAGGCTCATGCTTTGTTATGAGAGTTTTTTTTCTATAGATGTGAGTGAGACAGCACCGCCCTACAAAACCAAAACCCTACATACTTGTTAAAAAATTGCCCCACAGAGAGACTGCACTCTCTCTCTCTCTCTCTCTGTGGGGCAGGTTAGCCCAAAACTGATTATTATTCTACTGAGAACTTAAACACAGCTTACTTTCTTGTGGGTTTTGTCTCTGAAGCCACAGAGAGACTACTTGCAGGCAGAACTGCCACATAAACAAATCATCAGATATTTGATGATGCCACTGTGTAGATGCTAAACTCAGAATAACTTTACAGACTATGTCTTATGCTAAATGTCCAAACTATTTTTGTTGTTGTGTGACTTTGACTCGGGGCATTCAGACAGGGTCCAGTGGTTTGGTTACTGTTTGACTGACGGTTTAGAGGTAAGAGACATAATACACAATGTGTTACTATAGAGCCAGATGCACTAATACCATCATCTTAGGGACTGATGCACTCCTGGATAAAATGGTCCTCTAGCTTGGAGTGGGTGAAAATGGCTTTTAGATGGTTCAAGGTACTCTGGTTTGAAATAGCAAACAAGTATTCAGACATGAGCTTGGTATTAGCGAGGTGCAGAAAGACAAACAACTCCCCAAAACATTGATCCTGTTGCTCCACGGCAGCTGGTCTCCAGCAGTGATCATTACATCTGGATGACTGAGGTGTGAAAACAGCTTCCTGTTGCGACAAACCATAGTTTTTGTTACAACTTACAGTCGGCTGGTTCAAAATGCAGTGTGAACAAAACCAGTGGCACAGGCCAGAGAGAGCATTATACTCACAAGAAGACTGGTGTCATGCCCTGTATATGAACGCTGTCCATACGGACGGACGGACAGATGTCCTGCCCATTTTGTGAACACAATGTGTCAGGAACATCTTAAGGAAATTTCTTTGGCTTTGGTACTACTGTCCACTCGGACTCAAGGATGAACTGATTAGATATTGGTGGGCAGGGATCAAAGGTCAAGGTCATTGACATCATATTTGTCCCATTCCTGTGAATTTGACTGCTTGGTGGAGGGAACCACAAAGCTGTAGTTCTAGTTTAAACACTGTTTCTGATCACAGCGTCTATTTTTCCAATGAATAATCCATTATAGTAATAATCAAAAACAACAATAATAATAATAATAATAATCTATTTTCCATTGGATAATGAAGGGCAGCTTGACGGGTCATGAAGCTCTACCCACTTCGAGCTGCTTTCAAGAACAAGATATTTAGTTAACTCCAATAACTTGGACGGTCCATTAATTGTAACTCAATAAAACTGCCTCACTTGTATAATGGGATGTGGGACCTTATTCAAACATTGATGTTTGAAGAAACAATAAAGGAAATTATTTAAATAAAATTTAACAAATTAGAGTGAACAGAAGCTTTTGTTTTCATACACACTGAATATCAGCTCTAACATCTCTAACAAGCTTTTATTTGGCGAGCTTTACACATCAGGGACAAACAGACGTTACAATTTTCCATAGACACGTGAAGGCACTTATAAATAAGTGCAGCATTGACAAATATAATTAGCATCAAAGTATTAATATCAAAAGTGTCCAAAAAGCATGCTTCAGTTCAAGAGCTATCACTTTAGATACTATTGAAAATGCTAATGCATTATAGTAATTAAATTTTAATGATTCCAAATGCATTTTCCTCATTCAGTGACATGAGAAGTGACAGCGCAGCCCATATCTTTCTTCACTGTAGCCATAGTCTTTTAATCTCAACCTGAGAGATGTGGTTATCTACGTGTTCATGTTTTTCTCTCTGGCTCTTATCGCTGCTCTATAAGTGTCCACGTCACTGTGAAATCATTTTTAGCTCCAATGAAGCAAAAGGCAGCTCTTGCAAGTGAAACATCTTTGTCAGGCTGGTGTTTAGTCTGGACCCCGTTGTGAACTAGCCCAGCGGGGTCAGAGACTGTGGCCAGGACCTGCAGGGGCCAGACTGCCCCAAGCTCACTTTGTTAACCTGTGCCTTGTTCCTGTCAGATTCCTCATACACAAGAATAGAAAGGAGGGGGAGCTGGCACCAGCTTACCTGCCATTTGCCCTATCATGCTGCTGCCTTAATAGCCTCGAGGATGGACATCCATCTTCCCGACACCAAATGATAGATGTAGAAAGGAGGAAAAAAAAAAGATGTTTCTCCCTCTTAATGTTGAGGGTCAGTGCAAGTTTACTGGAGCAGAGAGGAAACGATCTCCTGTAGACAGATAACAGAGCTAAGTATCTAGCAAGACTGGGAAACCTGAGTGGGTTTAATCAAGTACTTGGACATTTAGCAGCCTCAAGCCAGTTCATTACAGCACATTATGCATGCATATGTTAAGTGGACATTTCAGGTGCTTTAAAACTGCATAGTCCTAATTTCCAGTGTGCTACACTGTATACAACAGTCAATAGGATGTCACTGAACTATTATTTGCACCCAGAGGACAATAAACGTGTAATAACTGCTTCAGCAGTAACTATTTGTGAACACTGATATGACATCTTTTTTCAAGTTAATATGGTGAATTGCTTAGCTTATTCAGACTTCCAGCAGTTGTGAAGCAATATTGTAATTCACTTAAAGTTGTGTTTCTGGCCAACTCGAGCCCAACATTCACCTTTTTGAGCTGTAGCTTTGCTCTCTGCCAACTCATGAAGGAAATCACTGGAAAAATCAACACAACTGAAAATCTTAAATTTAACTGCACATTTTATGCTTTATTTATATTTTAATAAGATGTAATAAAGTTTTAGACAAACAGTACATTTTCAGTGCATGACATCTTTAGTGGATTTAACATAAATATAGAAAGCTGTTGTTTTTTTCTTTACAGCATTTAGACTTTAATAAATACAGGTATGTACATTTTATTTACATTTTATTTATTTACACTTTCCAGTCAGTTCTTCTTGCAACAGAAAAGTTTTGTGAGTGGTTTGAAGGCTTTTTTTTTTAGCCTGAAGACATGTGCTTCAGTGTACGCATCATAAGTAAATAGACATTTTATGCATGCATAGAATTTCTTCTAAGCTGAAGCCACAGCTGGTAGCAAATAAAAACAGCTCATACACATTGCATATGTTGTTGCATAAGTTACATGTCAAGTATCTTTATTATAAGAAATGTATTTTATGTAATTCCATCCCTCTTGTGTAGCTTGAAGTGCATCTAATCACCAGAAACACATGTCACATCGCATCGTCTCCATATCAGCTTAATGGATTTTTTCTTCTCTGGAGTCTTTCCACAATTTTTACCAAGAAGAATTTCCCATCTCTGTTGTGTCATTGTCTCTGTAGGTTTCATTGTTATCTCTGGCATAAGTATATGTGACACATCTAGTAATATTTCACTGGCTAACTATTATCCATCCAGCCAAATATACCTAATGTGAATTCACAGAAAACTCCTTCCTCTTCTTTCATGGTTTTGCTAAAACGAGTCTGTCCGTCTCCTGGTAAACACTGCAGACATGCTTTTCACTATGCCCTTGAACCCCAGAGGCCTCTTCATGGTCAGCTTGGCATCCTTCATCCTGTCCACCAGTCCGTGAAACACCATGAGCACGCTGTGGTAGTTCTCGGCTGCCGACACCTCATAGAAGTGGCAGTCTGTGTTGAGAGCCAGCAGCCGGCCCTCCTCACTCAGCACTGTCCGCCTGTGGGGCAAGTCTCTCTTGTTTCCCACATTGAAACTGGCTCTGTCGCAGATGCTGTAGACAAGGATGTAGGCATCTGCCCACTGGGCCTTCTTCTCTGAGAGAGATGCCTCCACAGATGAACACTGTGAAATCACACACTTAAGTTCATCCGCAGCAACTACCAGTGGTGGAAAGTTACTCAGTACATATGCTTTACTTAAGTAGAAATATGAGACATAAACATATGATCACCATCTAATCTAGGGTAGATAACATAATTAAAATTAACATCATCCAACATATAAAATGCTGCCTATGTTAACATTTCAGTAATAACAAAACAACATGACAATATACTCAATAAAAGAGACTTTCATGCCTTTTAATTAAGTCACATTTTAAATGAAGAAACTTTACTTGGATTGGAGTATTTTTACACTGTATTCCTTTCTGCTTTTACTTAATTTGAGCGGAATTAAATTATTCATCATTAATCATTAATAGCCAAAGTTATTGATAGTAAGTGTCAAAGTGTTTCCTCACCTCAGAATAAGGTGAATCCCAAATATTGAGAGTGATCTCCCTCCCGTCCACCATAAAAGTGTGACTGTAGATGGCCTCTACGAGACAAAACGTTAATTATAAGTTAGATAAAATTAAAGTCTGCATTTTCATATGCATATTAGTGAAGCACAGTGGACACTCACCGATATCTCCATACTCTCCGATGAATCTCCGCGTTAAGAGGCGCACAGTCAGCGCTGAAAAACAATACTGTTTAAAGACCTGTGTACAACAGCGACATTCACATAACTTCATTTCCTTCGTGTTTTACCTGACTTCCCGACGCTCTCTGTCCCCAGAACAACAATATTGACATTGTCCATGTTCAGTCAAATAGCTGCGCCAAGCCGCTCCATCCACTGTGCGTCGCCGCCGGCTGAGAGCGGGTGTTATAGCTCAGCCAGGTGGGCGGTGTTAACAAAATCACCCACAGTACAGCTGTAGTTCAAGGATATCTAACTCACATGGTCTCCCGCACGGGTCTGTGTGTGGCCCCAGGGAGAAAAACAAACAAATGGAAACAATGTCAAACTAGGAAATGGCTCACGAGCTGAGTACTACTGTGTGTGTGTTGTTTTTTTTTTACCTTGTTATATGTCAGACAATCCCTGTACTCTCCGTTCACTCCAAATCAGTTATGGAGTGGGAAATCGGATAATGAAAAAAAAACACTCCTTCAATTTTTCACTTTAAAATGCAAATCAAACTAGACAAATGCATTTCCTGAAGAAACTATCTGTGGATGCTGATTGCTGAAGAATTGACCTGAAAATGCTGAAATGGCTGAAATCCATAGCTTGGTGGTTAATGCCACTGACTTTAGTATGACTTCATTATGCCTTTTTCTGTGTTGTCATCTGCTGCTATATAGAAAATAAAATTAACTTCACCTTCAAGGGGGGGCAGGACACTAATATTGCCCTAATATTGCTGCAAATAAGATACAAAACACTGACACAGTGACATTCATATATCTTTCTCCCAGAGCTTCCAGTCCTACTGGGAGTGCTGATGTTAGGGTCCTTCATGTACACCAGAGGCCCTCGACTCCATCACTGGATGGACATGGTCAGCACTCCACAGGAGCCGGTGAAGCTGTGGCATGGATTGGGCAGATACATTTAAGCAACCAAACATGAACAGATCCACAAACACACATGTGCATGTACATACA